TCTCATAGGAAACTTGCATCAGTTGGTAGGTTCATTGCCACATCACTCCTTGAAACTTTTGGCAGATAAGTACGGACCGTTAATGCACCTGAAACTAGGAGAGGTATCCAACATCATAGTCACTTCACCGGATATAGCCCAAGAGGTTCTGAAAACACACGATGTTAATTTTTCTGATAGGCCAAACCTTGCATCGGCTAGAACAGTTACTTACAACAATACCAGCATAGTCTTCTCTCCGTATGGAGAATATTGGAGACAGGTACGAAAGATATGCACGGTGGAGCTACTAACGACAAAGCGAGTGCAATCTTTTCAGTCCATAAGGGAAGAGGAGATGGCAGAACTGGTTAAGAAAATAGCTGCAAGTGAAGGCTGTGCTGTTAATCTCACCCAGAACATTTTCCCGATGACTTACGGAATAGCGGCACGAGCGGCTTTTGGTAAAAAAAGCAGATATCAACAAGTTTTCATTTCAAAGATTGAGGAGCAATTGAAACTCATGGGAGGGTTTTCGCTAGCTGATCTCTATCCTTCTAGCAGAGTGCTTGAAATAGCGGAGAGGGTAAAGTTTGAGAAAATTCACAAAGAGATTGACAGGGTTTTGCAAAACATCATCGAGGAACACAGAAATAGAAGCAAGTGCGAAGTAGTGGAAGATCTGGTCGATGTTCTTCTCAAGTATCAACAGGAAAACGATTCTGAAAGTCTCATAACTGATGACAACATTAAAGCGGTCATCCAGGTTAGTGTCTGTATGAAACTTCTAACTAGATAAGATGTCAAATAATTCATGATTTAAATGAAAGATTGATGGAATTCTCATAGGAAAATTCGCTCTGTTATGGATCTTCTAACTTATATGTCAGTTAAGTGTCTCGTTATTTCTAACAAAAACACATTTATTTGTAGATAAATGATAACATTAATCCATACTTTTCAGGACATATTCATCGGTGGAGGAGAGACTTCATCTTCCGTAGTGGAATGGGGGATGTCAGAATTGATAAGAAACCCAAGGGTGATGGAAAAAGCACAAGCTGAGGTGAGAAGAGTGTATGGTAAGAAGGGATACGTGGATGAGACAGAATTACAGAAATTGATATACTTGAAGTGCATAATCAAAGAAACATTGAGGTTGCACCCACCTGTACCATTGTTAGTTCCGAGAGAAAGTAGAGAAAGGTGTGAAATCAATGGGTATGAGATACCCTCTAAGACAAGGGTAATCATCAATGCTTGGGCAATTGGAAGAAATGCTGAGTATTGGACTGAAGCTGAGAGTTTCAAACCTGAAAGGTTTCTAAATAACTGTATCGATTTCAAAGGTGCAGACTTTGCATTTATCCCATTTGGTGGTGGAAGAAGGATCTGCCCAGGCATCACATTTGCCATCCCGAACATTGAGTTGCCACTTGCTCAGCTACTTTACCATTTTGATTGGAAGCTTCCGAACAATATGAAGAATGAAGAACTTGACATGGCCGAGTCTGGTGGAATTACTCTCAGAAGAAAAAATGACCTCTGCTTGATCCCCACCACTCATCAAACTTAAATGTTAAATGTAAGAGTGATGGTTAGGTTCATTTGAAACATATAACAAGAATAAAATGATTATAAGAAAAAAAATAAATAAATATATATATATATATATATATATATATATATATATATATATATATATTTATAGTAGTAAATTTTTGTATTTTTTTAGTAATAATA